ATGGGTTTGTGTAATTGAGGGCCTTCAGCTTGAGAATGGGTTGTGTAATTGAGGGCCTTCAGCTTCAGGACGGGTTTTTGTAGTTAGGGGTCTTTAGTTTGAGAATGGGTTCGTGTAATTAAGGGCCTTCAGCTTGAGGATGGGTTTGTGTAATTGAGGGCCTTCAGCTTGAGGACGGGTTTGTGTAGGAAAGAACAAGGAAGGAACTTCCTTTTTAACAAATTTTCCGTTTTTTTGATTATTAATGAAATTTCACAAAATTGTTAAAACCAGTGAGAGCCAGAAAATTGTGGAATAGGAAGACGACAATAAAGCAATACTGTTTTGTAGATATTTGATCTTTTTTCAAAGCAAAAAGTTTTACTAGATACTTATTAAAACCCTTATTAAGTAAAATGGATCTCTTTACACTACACAATTGCAGGGTCGGATACAGGAATTTATTAGGGGTGAGGAAAACTGTTAATGCAAGTAGCGCGAAAATTTTGATTTTTTGCTTACCCCTAAAAATTTTTGCTCCTCCCTGGGGAAAACACTAGAAAGAATATGAACCTTTATTTTGACCTCATGTTGCACAGGTTTAAGGTGTAATTATATCATGTTCACCCTCTAAATTTAACAGTGTTCTGTACCGCCTAATGCCTTTTTCTCCTATTTTCTCCTGTGGACGTACATACATCACATCTCATTGTCTAAAACCATAGCTCACTACGCCGATTTAAAAATTAAAACTAAACATTTAACTATTAAACACTCTTTACTCTTTTATTTTAACCAAATATGATTTATTTAACTATTTGATTTTATGAATTTCAGAATTTTCTCTCTATTTTATGTGACTCATCCTTAAAGCTTCAGAATCAAAGGTGAGCTATTTTCAGGGGTGAGCGGCCGCTCCATGGCTTATCCCTGTATCCGCCTTTCTTGTTGAAATGAGTGCATTAAGTCATAACTTGAGTCTAAAGTCGTCTTCCTATTCCAGAGTTTTCTGGTTCTGACTGTATCATAGTGACGGAAATGCTTATAATCTTCAAATGTACTTGACGATTGGATAAACAAATAACAGGGTGAGGCTAGATCAAATTGTTTCTCTTTTGTCTAAAGAAAATTTTTAAATGATGTAACAGGGAAAAGCCAGAAAAAAACGACAACAGTATAATTTACAATTCTTATCTTGCAAGTATCTACAGGCCATTGTCTGAAAATTTTACAAAATGACAAAAGTAAATTTTCAGTTCTGCAAGGGAGGAGAAGCCAAGACGCCATGAGCCCTCCCCCTGAAATTTAATATTTTTACTAGTTAAATAAATAAATATCATAAATTTGCAGAAACTACAATTATCATAATATGTTGCTGAATTCACCGGTTTTACTGCGATCTAATAATTTGAAGTGTTTTTTTAAATCTGAGAAAACCAAATTTAACAATAAAAAAGGTTGAAAGGAATATTGTTGAAACCCAAAGTTTTAATACTTGTATGTAACCTTATCCCCACATTTCATTTAAAAAAAGAAGTTTGTATAAAAATAATTATGTTTTTTTAACATATAGATAACATTCAGAGATTAATAAATAAGTTTCTTTTTGTATTTTAAATTTACAATTCTTATCTTGCATTCAACAGTATATCATTGATCAGTTGCCTTAGTCTGAAGTAACATCATGAGGATCTTCATTGTTTTCTGCCTTTTCCCCTTGTACAATTGTCTTCGTGTGCAGAAATCCCAAGTACAGTCCGGATTTGTTGTACAGGGCAATTCTGCTGTACACAATGAGGTGAAAGAACCTGGCAAGGAGACGAAGGAAAATAAAGCGTCCTGTTGCGAGGCTTTAACTGTATACTCTCCTGGGCTAACTCTAGAGATGCAATGGACTAGGCTAGGCAGGTATATACTAACAGGGACATCAGAGGGAGGAAAACCAGTTTATACTCAGGACAACATGGAGAACTTTCTCTACTACATGCCTGATCTTAGTTTATGGTACATTGGCGATGAGCTTGGTGTAAATATGGCAGGAATACTTAACTTCGGGGATGAGACATGTCCTACTGAAAACACTGAGGTTTGGGAGGTCTATGCTTGGAAGGACGGGTACGATGACTGGACTCCTGACCCAGAGCTCCGTGTAACCTGCGAAGGAGACTCTCCCCCAACAGATGCCAGCACCAGCTCCAGTATTACTAGCACTGAAACATCAAGAGAGGCCTGTACTTGGGGATCTTTCTGTGATGGATGTTCTATTTGGTCCTCAGTGAATGATGTCAAGTACTGCTGTGCTAATAACTGCAATAGCGGAGGGATTTATGTTGAGCCAGATTCTAATGGAAACATTGACTGCTATTGTTATCATTAAATTCTAAATTAAAAGATTGACTTTAAAAATTCTTATTTGATTGAAATGGAAAATGTAAATAACCCCAAAAGAGTTAATTGTAAGCAGGAATGCATGCAGAGGCTAGGGCTGGGCAAGTTACCATTTTTTCAAGTCGTTTTGTTAACAGTTAGTTCCAACGCTTTTAAAAATAATATAGATATATCCAGTAGGGTTTCCACCGGAATTCCGGGTTACGGTTTATGTACGGAAATGATCCGGAAATTTTTTCCATTTCCATTATGGAAAAAGTTCTGGAATTCCGGAACGATTTCCCGAACGATTTTTTTCCGTAAACCAGAAATTTCCAGTACGTTGTTCTGGAATTACGGAACGCTACGGAATAGTGTTCCGGAAAATTCCGGTTTAAGGAACAATTGTCCTGGAATTTTCCCGAAAAAGGTTCTGGAAAACGTTGAAGACATTCTAAACTTATGTAAAAGATAAAACCAGTAAGTAATACTATCTACAGAATAATAGAATGTGCGCCTGGTGTAGCTGTATTTAAAGTAATACTACTGTGAATTATCATGAAATAATATAAATCCTGACTGCCATGTCTCAAAATAATTTCATCTACAGAAAACTGTGGAAAGGAAGACGACATGTATAGCAATCCTTGAGTCTAATTGATGTTATTACATAGCAAATAGATTAAATAGTAACTTATAAAATCACTTTTAAATTGGGCTGTATACAGTATAGTATCTACTACGTAATTGCCGTGTCTCATGTTCATTGAACTATTTAGAGTCATAATTTAAGTCTAAAAGTCGTCCTCCTATTCCAGAGTTTTCTGGTTCTCACTCTATTTATATACTTTGCTCGTCTGTTTGTTTGTCCGTTTGTATCCAATAAACGTCCAAACAGCTGAACCGACCGTGCCCAACATTTGTGAGGCAACTCACATGGCCCAAGGGAAAGTTTAAACTAGTTGAAAATTTATGCGTGAAAAAAATCGAAATTTGTTATTTTTTTAATTCACCAGTTTAAAGCCTAGTTTTTATAAACTCTTATTTATATGGTTCATTTCATCCCATCCTGATCAAATACGGAGGGGGAGGAGGGGGGGGGCATAAGCCTATCCGATGACCCTCTTGAAAAATAAAAACTAATTTGTCAAAAAATATTGTGGGGAAAGTGAAAACTGTAACTATAAAATAGTCATGATGAACTATAGTGAAATATTTGTGAATATATAATTGTAGAACTAAATGCGTATTAAATGTATGTCAACTAATAAGTTTTAACTTTTAATGTTTTAACATTGCTTTTATGTCTAATATTGTGTTAAAATTTCCGGTTTACAAAATGGAAACTGGAAATTTTACGATTTACGTTACGTAAACCGGAAAATTTTCCGTTTTACCGAATGGAAACTGGAAATTTTACGTAAACTTTCCGGTTTCCATTTGATCCGGAATTATCCCGGAATTCCGGTTTACGCAAAAAAATTCCGGATCATTCCATTTCCAAAATGGAAATTTTTTTCCGGAAAAATAGAAACCCTAATATCCAGAAATGAATTTCCAAATAGCCTCCTCTCTGCCTAAGAACTGTTTTATCTTAAAACATAAATCTTACAAACCACTTTATGAGTCAATATAAGATACAAATCATGACAATCAATAAACAACATTAATTTTAAGTAAAGTTCTTGTACCACTATGTTGAAAAAAAAGAAAAAAATCTTTATTACATGTTAAAACCAAGAATTATAAGGAAGCTGTGCTGTATAGCGTGGGCTCTTTTACTGCATAGTGGAGGCTCTTACTGCATGTTGGAGGCTTGGTCTGCCTAGCAAATAATATGGGGGGCTTGAGTCTGCATGGCGGACGCTCATGGCGTCCTGGGGTTCCCAAGTCCTCATCAGATAGAAGACTAGATATCGTCTTTTTAAGATTAGGTGTTTTTCGTCCACAATAACCCTGGGACAGAAGCCCAAAGGATGTATGCGCATGCCGCGTTGAATTACAAAAAAGAGAGAGAGAGCATGCATGTAACTCCTTGCCGGGCTTCTGTCTCTAGAAAAGCCGACATCTAGTGTTCTATCTGTATTTTCCCCAAAGTGAATTACTAAAACGGAGAATATATCTGGATATAGTGTATGTATATTATATATATAGTGGTTTGGTGGATATAAATAAGGAGAGGATGAATTCCGCCTCTTCAGTGTGGTTTCAGACTCCGTCAGATAAGCTCTGGTCGGAAGAAAGAACAGAGATTATAGAATATAAGGGAAATAAGAATATCCCTCGGTATGAATTTGTTCAGTCCCTTGAGCCTGAAAAGGAGTTCAAAGTGTACAATTCATACAAATGTTCACCGCATTAGTGTAAAGTGCGCATTTATAATAATTTTTAGCTTGTTAATATTTCTTTTTAAATATAAGCTGTTGGCCCGTTAACACATTTTTTTCTCAAAGATAAATTATGTGATTTATATTTAGCGTTTTAATCTAAGAATAGAACAACAGGTGGCAGCATTTGGCTTGGTAAGTTTCACGAAATATCCTGTATTGGTGTGATATTGTGAACATGTACTGGATGCTATTGTGTACAGTACACTGTGATTTGGGGGGATTTGTTTTGATTTGATTACACAGAGCCCCAAATTTAAAAGAGTATCGTTGAACAAAACTCCCAAGTTTCATTTTTGGGGTCTTAACATTTGTGTAGATATAGATCTAAGAGATTCGGAAAAATGGAGAACATGAAGAAACTAAATAAAATAATATTTAATAACAAAAATGTTGATATCCACAAAACTGCCTAACCCCATTTGTGAAACCGAGTTTCAAAACTGGTTTTTATAGCGATACACTGCTATAAGTTTTGGGCTCTAAGCCCAAAACCAGTTTTAAACCCCGGGTTTTACGAATGGGGTTTTGTGTATATCAATATTTCTGTTATGAAATATTGATATCGTTAACTGTTTAAGAGATTAACCCAATTAAGAAATAATTGAAATAATAAGATTTAGTTGTAAAATTCAAAACATTCAAAATTAGTGGGAAGTTTTCGTAGATAGCCAAAATAATGTCGATAAAAGTAATCTTTTTTTGCCAAATCAATGTCTAAATTGAATGGAATTATATTTGTTTTAAAATAACATGTATAATTATTGCGTGAGCGATTAAAATTCTATTCTCAGCACTTAAGCTTCTTAACACAGAAGACGACATTTTAAAAAATCAATACACATTAAATAAAAAAAACGAAACGAAATTCACCGTTTTTTAAAAATTAGGTAACGTTTTAACTGTTAATTTTTTTAAAACGGCTAATCCGTTTTGTTAACGATTTAAAAATTAACGGTTTTTGCCGTTCGTTACATTTACCACCTGCTGTTCTTATATATATATATATTCTGAGGTTTTAATCAACGGGGGTCATGTGCTCACTTGTGATAATTGTGCGCATATGATAAATATCTTTAATTAACAACTGATGTAAAGCTATGCAATCTAGAAAAATGTTTTAAAAACAATATTCAAGAAAACCTTATTTTGCGAAAATTTTATTAAGTGTAAGGATACTCAGATATATCTGTTCAAATTATCCGGATAAAAATCAAAAATAAGAAAATAATGCAATGCCCTGTGAAATAGCGCTTTTGTTCCAAAAAATATTCAAACTCTTATATCAATATTTATCAAATGCAAAAAAGGCAAAGATAATAATCAGAATCCACAAGATCTACCTCGAATTAATTTTTTAAAATTTTAGTTTTTATACTGCATTGACTATCTACAATAATTTGTTTATAAGCTCTAAGAATGTAAGATATTGATTTCGGAACTTTTGGATTTGAGAGAGCAACACACACATGACAAATTTAGATTTTGAGTTTCACTTAAAATTACCCCAAATTTTTTTTGAAATTGGAACTATAGGATTTTAGCCTATTTCAAAACATTAAGAGATTAATGTTAGATAACCAACTCCCTTTAGAATAAAAGAATATTTTGGGTTTACTTTCTTGATTTTTTTATATAAACCTTATAGACTAGATGATTGTCACCTTTTTGCAGTTCTCAGTCCTGGAAAAATACAGTAAACCCCTTAATAACGAATACATCGAAAGAATTTATCAAATGTCGTATTCTTTACTATCTGATAATGGAATGTTGCAGATATTTAGTGTTTTAATTAAATGATTATATGGAACTCTTTAAAACTGTTCCCGTATATTCATGGCTATTTATTTATTTTCGCAAATAATTTACGTAATATAGTATAAAACTCATTGAAAAATTGTCAAGACGACATTTGAAAAATTCTTTCGATGTATTAGTTATTAAGGGTTTCATGGTAGGATCCTTTTTAAAATTTAATTCAATTCAAATGTGATGAATACGGTAAAAATAGGGCCAAATATAAGAAAATCGACTATTTATAAAAACAAAATATTTTGAGTCTATTTTTGTAAATTTTACTGTCAACTTTCTAGATTCAATGATTATCACCTGTTTACAGTTTTCCGTCCTGGCAAACTAGGATCCGTTTGGGCCAATATTTCAAACCCCATTTTCTCGAAAACGGCTACTCATCAAGTTTGTTTAAAACATTTTTTTAAATTGACTAATTCTAAACTTTCAATTTCCAAAAATTTTGGGGGTAATTTGAAGTACCGTTGTGAATCTGATTTGCCACTCTAGAAATGGAGAGTCACTAGAAAATACGACTACAGTCCCTTTATAATATCTCGGAATAGAAAGAAACAACTCATCCTCTAGCTCCACTGTAAACGACGGAGAAGGGTAGAGCTCCTCTAGTTTTGAGTTTTCATACAGGTCATGAAAAACTAATTTATTAGTTTCTTCTAAATATTAAAATACCACTCCGAACTAACCAGAGTGAACAGCATTCGGTTTCTTCTTTTTGAAATCAAACTTGCTTTGGTCTATAATTCAACAATCTTTTAACATTAAAGAAATGCATATGCCGACGAAAAGGTTTAAAGCAAAAATGCAAAAAAATTGTTTGTTTCATGGGTCACATTATGATCGAAAGTCACAGCTTTCTGGAGTATTGACACAACCGTTAAATCCACGTGATACACTTTACAAAAAAAGGTGATTTTATTGATTTGAAACTAGCGGGAAGCTTTCTTTTATTTGACCTTTAAGATCCAAAAGTAACAAACTTGAAAACAAATTAGATTTAATTTAATGTAATACTTTGCAATGGTAAACTTAACTCTTCTTTTAATTTAAAAAAAATACTTTGTGTTAATAAATAAATGTATTTTCTAAAAAAAACATCAATGATCAGATCTTGTCGGTCGTGTTAATGACTCTTAATGATTTATTTTTTCATTTTGACGTACTTCTGATGTTTGTCAAATTAATGTGGATTACATAAGTTACCTCAAAAAAAATTCTTATCTATTTATATCTACTCCGATATCTTTATCTCTCAACTGCGTCATGCAAATATCTATTTCTATCTACTCCTTCATCCAAATATCTATTTATGTCTATTTTGTGATACAAATATCTATTTCTATCTACTCCGTGATATAAATATCTATTTCTATCTACTCCGTGATACAAAGATATATTTCAATCTGCTCCGTGATACAAAAATCTATTTCAATCTACTCCATGATACAAATATCTATTTCTATCCACTCCTATATACCGATATATATTTCAATCTGCTCTGTAATACAAATATCTATTTCAATCTACTCAATGATACCAATATCTATTTCTATCTAGTCCGNTCCGTGATATGAATACATTATTAAATGCATTGCATACATATTGCATAACTTCACATTGCATACATATTGCATAACTTCATCACCAATGAACCAAGTGTATAGCTTACATATTGCTCTGTGTATTATTGAAGTAACATATTATTAACAAATGGAAATTCAGAGTGCGCCACATTTCTTTGTTGATATATGTCTCCTGGAAAGATTTTCTTCAATTTAACAATACTTTTTTTCGAGAATTTTTATGTTGTTTGAGGACAGAGTTTTGTTAAAAAAAGACTGTAGACGTAGTTTGAAGTGAACATGCATTTCTAGAGTAACAAGCCAGATTCGCTACGGCGCACCATTGAAGTCATACTTACAGAGTAATAGGGTAGTGTTGTGAATCGGACATGCCCCTCTATAGTCCCTTAAAGTCCCAATTTACAAGATGAGTCTAACTTTTTACAAAGATATGTTGCACAAATGCCTCGGCAAAATTTATTTTTTTAACCCAACTCTGAAAGATTCCCCATAATCCCTTAAATTTAAGCCGCGGCTCAAATTCTTTAAATTCGGTCTCTGATGATGTAAACCTTTGATATTTCAAACTTAGATTATTGGATCTATCAGGGTTCAGAGTTTGAAATATCTAAGGTCTATGACATTGGATTGCAATGATACAGAGATTTGAAAAAAAGAGTTTGTGGCAAAGACTCAATTCCTTTCCAAATTGTTACAAATTTTATTTAGTTAATAACGGTTTGAGATTAAATTAAACATGTTAAAAAATCATCGAAATAATACCTTTTTAAAAATAATAAATCTTCATTACACCCCAAAATATGAACTAAATAATGAAGTTGAACACTGTACCTTCAATATTTTACAGCAAATCATATGTTTTTGAAACATTGAATTTTTTTTAAAGTAAAATGTAAGATTGAAATCTTCTACGTCCTTAATCAAAACTCCTTCAACTGCATTTCCATTGAGAAAAAAAACATCAATGTTTGAATTCCTTTATGTAACTGTATAAATTGTGCATAAAATCAAAACTAGAGGAGCTACGAGGTCATCAAGCCTCACCAGTAATAGCACGAACATTTTAATTAATTTTTTCTCTATTTTTATTTTTTTTTTGGATTGGGGGGAAATATTCCTACAACCTCTATTTTTGGAGGTTTTAGAATATTTTCTCCTGTAACACTTAACGTTGTATAATTTTGTTATATTTCATACTTACTTACTTACTTACTTCGTTTGCAATGAAATACTATATTTCTCCATATCCATTTTCCACAGAATTCTATCAAAAAACAGGAAAAAGAAAAGAAAAACTAAAGCCATGAAATGAAAACCAAAAGATATTAATTGTGAAGCGTTTAAAAACTTTTAAAAAAGAGAAATAACCTAAAAAACGTTTGTGCACATTTTTTGTTTTTAAATTTTTACCAAAAAAAATTATAAATATTTTTTAGAAAGAAAAGGATGACTAGTCAGATTACTGTATTGTGTATCTGTATTATTATATCCGTATGTTTAGGTAAAATAGAATTTTAAATGTTTTTAAGAAATTGGGAATAAATTTATATGCAATTTTTTTATTATTTCTTTATCATGAAAAACATGCTGTACCGTTCGGGCAATGAACACTCTTAAAATGCTAAAAGATTCACGAACTAATCCAATTTTTTAAATTTTATTTACTACAAAGTTTTTTTTAAAGGTTTAAGGTTTGCTCCTGGGGAAATTCCAGTAGATCTATATTCACTCAGGTATATTTGGAAACTTTTTTATACTTTTTATCTCTTTTAATCAAAAATCCTTAAAATATGCAATTGTCAGAATTAGATCATGTTTATAGAATATGCAGGGGTCGAAGTTTATATCAAAATAATTTACTTTATACAAGCTTATATTAAATATAGCATAAAAATAGCATCAAACGAACCGGTACAAGGATGCCTCTCTAGTCTCTAGTCTTTAGTCCGTACCGGTCTGTCTAGTACACCAAGTATGTGGTTGACCAAAAGCGTCAATACAGCCTTAAGTATATTGATTCAGTAGAGACCATTTTAAATTTAAAAACCAGAAACTCTTTGCTTAAGGAAAATTTTTTTTTTTTTTGAAATATTTCTTTTGTTTGACATTAATCGGAGTACTTAGTTTAAATATACTTAAATTTAATAGAAATTTATAATTTATTTGTTGTAATTTGTATTTCGGTTTAAATATCGTCCCCATGACATTATAGATTGAAAATATAAAGGAAAAAACAGAGAATATTTTACCTTCTATAAGATCATCTTCCTCTGCAACTGCAACTCCGGTTCGTTTAAAGTACAGGGCCGACTTTTAACCAGCTAGAGGAAGCTGTACAGTACAAATACAGACTATGTAAGGCAAAACGGGACAGTAGGCGAAATGAATGATGGAAATTACAGCTGAAACTGTAAGGATCGTCATCATTGTATTTACAAAAACGCTGACCACTGCAGGGAAAAAACATGCTCACATAGCTCAATAATGTTTACATTTGATCCACATCACAACAGTACCAGTTAAACTACAATTTGTTGCTTAGAGCTGATAAGCCTGCCTTGGATCCAGAACCGGTTATTCAGTATCTGAGAGAGCTGGAACAAATCTCACAGCTGTTGCCACGTGGTGAAATTTCTCAGTTGTTGCCACGTGGTGAAAGTGAAACGCAAGAAGAGAAGAGAGTTCCAGAAAATGAGAATCTGGAGGATTTTGTTGGAAAAACTCCTGTGAAGAGGTATAACCTGCTTTATATATGATATTTGAGAAATTTTAGATGGTTACTTTATTTCTTAGAAATTTTCTAATTTTCATGTAAATAAAAGATATTATAAACTAAAGGGACTATAAGCGTAATTACAAGTGATCCGCGATGCAAAGAGGAGAATAAGTCCCTTTAAACCTTTGACTGTTTACAGAGGAAAGGGAGCTCTATGTTAAGATCTCTTGAAAACCACTTTCCTACTCATGGAAAAGGCAGTGTACACTGCGTGCAGTGTGAACTTGATTGACATACTACCAAATATTTTACATTTAAAGCGGTTCATCAAATTCAAAAGAAAATATTTATTCTCTGCCAATTCTAGAAAGTAAATATTAATACTTTCAAAACTTTACACAGCTTAAAAACTTACTGTGTTAAAAATATTAAAAGCGTTTTAATAAGTTCAAAGTTTTAAAGGTACCATTGTGAATCGGGCATGGCTTTGCGAGACTCACTTGAAAATACGCTTAGAGTCTCTTTGATCTCGTAATTATCAAAGGAACCTAAATGGGTCCAGCCAGATAAATAGGATTTTATGTCCTAAAGAACGAAGGTCATGATATCAATACTAGCTATAACGTGCTTTTAGCTCGTTTGTTTTTGCAGAGATTTTCTGCCAGGGCCAACATTTGGCATAATGTAATCTTTTTCTAAATTTTTTATTCTAAACATTATGTTTTTTAAAGTTTGTTAAATTTGGAGATGATATATTCAAAAAAACGTTGCAAAAACGTTGCAAAAACGTTGTAAAAACGTTGTAAAAACGTTGCAAAAACGTTGTAAAAACGTTGTAAAAACGTTGTAGAAACGTTGTAAAAACGTTGCAAAAACGTTGCAAAAACGTTGTAAAAACGTTGTAAAAACGTTGTAAAAACTTTGTAAAAACGAACGTGTTGTATACGGCTAGTTTTTTCGTTTTCAAATTTAATTTTCATGAGTAAAGAGATATTGCAAAGTTTAATGAAACTTAAATGTTTAAAATCTTAGAAGTTTTATCGATTTATTTTCTAAAAACTATTCAAAACAAGTAACAACACTAAATTCAAATAAACATTTAAAAAATTATTTTCTTTGTAAAGGCGCGGCCCAGTTTGGTATCCTGCTGCAAACAAGAGGAAAAGATCATATCTAGTAAAAATAGATTAATTACATATCTAGTAAAAAATAGATTAATTACTTATATACATAGTAAATTTATAAAAAGATAAAGCTACCCAATGAAATAAGAAAAACCTTGATATATTCAGTAAATTGTTAAAATAAATAAATAACTAAATAAATAAATGAATAAATGAATAAATGAATACATGAACAAATGAATATATAAGTAAATGAAAAGATAAATAAATGAATAAATGAATAAATGAATAAATAAACAAAAGAATAAATGAATAAATGTCAAATGAATAAATGAATAAATAAACAAATGAATAAATGAATAAATGAATAAATGTCAAATGAATAAATGATAAATGAATAAATGAATAAATGAATAAATGAATAAATGAATAAATGAAGAAATGAAGAAATGAATAAATGAATAAATAAATAAATAAATAAATGAATAAATGAATAAATGAATAAATGAATATATGATTCTTATAATAAGTAAATAAATGAATAAATACATAGATGAAGAAATGAACAGAAATTGATTAAATGAATAAAGGAATAAATACATAGATGAAGAAATGAACAGAAATTGATTAAATGAATAAAGGAATAGGGGAATAAATTAATTAATTAATAAATGAATAAAAAAATATGTGAATAAATGAAAGGATGAATAAATGAATAGGTGAATAGGTGAAAGAATAAATGAATAAATGAATATATGAATAAACGGATAAATAAATAAGTGAGCAGCTAAATGAATAAATGAAAAAATGAATAAATGAATAAATGAATGATCTGTATAAGTATAGATGGCATATCTGCACCCCCCGAAGCCTGAGCTGCAGTTTTACCCCGAACTCCTGTTGTCCCGGAACTACCTGTATCTGCAACCTATGGGGCCAAAACTGCAAGTAAATAATATTTTTTATCTATATAATACAGCTCTTCGCTTATATATGTTTGCTATGATATCCAAACGGCTGAACTTTTTAACGTAACTAAGAGGTGACAAATTTGGAAACTTTTGAAATTCCCCGGGGAACGCTGGGCACTTTAGCTAAAATCAGGATTAAATATCAAGCGCGCGTAAAATAATAACCTTGATAACAGGGGGTGCCCAGCTATATACAATGTATTACTCATTTCGCTGCTTTTCTTTTGCTTTAAAATATTAATTGATAATGAATCATTAGAATATTTAAAAATAATAATTTATATTTTAGATGTGAGCGAGTAGGTTTGATTAGCCAATGGTTGGGATAAGCTCTTCAATACGAGTGTCTCCTAAAGTTTAATCCAATTTAAAAAGTATTTTTTTTTCAAAATATCATTTTGGTTTTGTCAGGCAGATCTAAACCTAAGCTTTAAGTTTGAATCGATGAAAACTGTTTAAAATCTATTATTTTTGTCTTTTCTATCATTAATCTATCAAATATACAGAGTGAGTAAAAAAATGGCATTACCAATATTTTACATTCAACAACACTACAATTTTTTATAGGATTTATGTTATATGCTAAAAAGTAATAAAATGCAATAATTGAAATAATTAAAATTCAACAAATATTTCTTGGTACAAAGAAAAAAATCTGCTTTTTCTTAAGAAATTGATTGTAAAATGTTTCACAAAAATGGAATTGAATTAATCCACAAAATTAGTTCTTTTGATAAGATTTCGATCAGATTTGTGTTAATATATTTTTGGCGGATTTTTTAGATAAATGTTTTTTTATTAATGGATTTTCATAAAACATTGGAAGAAACATTTTCTAGTTGATTTAAAAAGAAAGTATTTCTTTCTCAAAAAAATAGTTTTGTGGATGTTTCTCTACTTAAAACTTGAACCCTGACAGAATCTTTAAAACTTGAACCCTGACAGAATCTTTAAAACTTGAAGTATCTTTAAAACTTGAACCCTGACAGAATCTTTAAAACTTGAACCCTGACAGAATCTTTAAAACTTGAACCCTGACAGAATCTTTAAAACTTGAACCCTGACAGAATCTTTAAAACTTGAAACCTGACAGTATCTTTAAAACTTGAACCCTGACAGTATCTTTAAAACTTGAACCCTGACAGAATCTTTAAAACTTGAACCCTGACAGTATCTTTAAAACTTGAACCCTGACAGTATCTTTAAAACTTGAACCCTGACAGAATCTTTAAAACGAATAGTAAACCTACTCTAATCACGTTTTTTCTCACCCTGTGTAAATGTATATATATTCATTAAAATAGATTTTCATGAAAAAAATATATTGTTTGTGCTGTTAAAATAAAAGTCATTATTTTTCAAATAAATAATATTTATGATATTTTTTTCTTTTTTTTGGTAATATACTTAACAATGAGCTTTGCATTTTTGCAATAAGCACCCTCATTTTAAACCTTGAAGTTTTTAATATATTCTGATAAAAATTAAAAAGTAGGATTTTTTTTGATCGGTTATCAGAAATTTCCTATTTAATTGAAGGGACAGTTAAGTAAACGTCTATTTAGAATAATCTAAAGTAACATAATTTTCTGAGAATAGTTAAAATTAATTAAAATAAAGTTTTTTGTTTGAAAAATACTGCACGTACAGAGACGACAATTTAGATCGGAAAATGGAGATATTTTAATTCTTTATCAGTTACACAATTCAACATAGACGGAAATATTTTGTATGCCCAGCTCGGTGCAGTTACGTTATACGGGAACCCCAGGCGCCGAGCCTACGCTATGCAGACACGAGCCTCCCAGATTTGTTATGCGGTACGAGCCTCCGTTATATGAAATAGCTGCATTCAAACTTTTAGGTTTTAAGTGGTGTCAAAATTTTTGTATTTTTTTTTGCATAAAAAGTTTATGAAAGATCAGAAGTATTAATCAATTGGTATAAGCAGTGCCTAATTATGACTTATAAAGTGGTTTATGAAACTTGACATATTTTTTACGTAGATATGAAAACATTTAGAGGAAAAATTTCGAAATTAATTTTATTTGATATTTTGTGATCTTTGATTTAAACGATACCTTTTTTTGAAATTGTTATCAGATTATGATAATTATAAATTTGACTTTGACAATAAATCTGAAATCTTAAAAAATTTCCCCAAAAAGGTACTGCTTAAATCAAAGATTAAAACAAAATAAAAGTTTCATTTTAAAAGTGAATTTCCAAATAGCCTACTCTCTGCGTTAGAACTGTTTTATCTTAAAACAAATCTTTTCAACCACTTTATGAGAATAAGTTACAAATCATGACAATCAATAAACAACATTAATCTCTAGTGAAATTCTGGGTCTGTCCTAGAGAACGATTTTTGGACCCCCCCCCCTCCTATCAATTTTGTACATGACCACTATTTTCAATCAAATTAGTATTTTTTTTAGGGTTAGGTTAGGTTAAGACACTTTCTGGGCCGAGC